CCGCCGCGCCGCTCCCCGCCCGCGCCGGCGCCGGCGACGCCGCGTGGCCCCGGGCCGGCCGTCGGCTTTGGGATGAACGCCACCGAGGGGATGATGAGGTTCAGCTGCTTGTGGCAGTGCGTGCAGTTGCGGGAGGCGGGGATGCCCACCTGGACGCCGCGCAGCGCGACGGATGCGCTGCAGTCGGCGCACTGCAAAGCGACAGGGACAGAAGGGGGCCGGTTGTTTTGACAATGGCGGCTTCAGCGGGGGTGCAGCCTCTTGGCGACTCGGCACGGGCGCGGTATCTCGGCAATTCAGCTAGGGCGCAGCCTCTCAGCAACAGATCCATATGCTTAGCGCGAGCACACGTGCGGAAGCGGTGGCCCTACATAGCCCAATGCAGCCCTGAGGCTGCCCCAGCCGCAGGTCCAGATGCACACCTGCGCGCCAAATAAGCTGGGCAGCAGGTCGAGCGGCGTGCAGCCCTCCGCCTTAAGCGCCGCCACCTCATTATTTGACTCGTGCACGACCCTCGGCCGCAGCAGCGCCCGCGCGGGCGCCGCGCACTTGCCGCACGCGCCGCGCCACTCCCACGCGCGCGGCGCCCCGGGCGTGCCGGCGGGGGACATCGACGCCGTCGCGGGCGCGCCGCAGCGACCGCAGGATATTTGCAGGTGGGCGTCTAATATCTCCAAAGCGTCTATCTGATCCAGCTGCAGGCCCTCGAGGGCGACACCCCACGCGCGGCCGCCGGCGTGCTGCGCCGCCGCTGCCGCCGCCGCCGCCGGCGACACGGCCCTGGTGGCGCCGGTGCCGCCAGCCTCGGCGCCGCGACCGCCCTCCGTTCCGGGCGCGCCGTCTTCCCGGCCGCTGCCGCTTCTGCCGCTGCCTTCATCCCCGCTGCCGCCGCTGCCCTCTTCGCCGGACGAGGACCCTTCGTAGCTCCCGCTGCTGCCCTCAAACGAGCTCGTCCCCGCCGCCTCGGAGCGGCCGCGTGCCTCGTCCCCCAAAACCTCCCACGCCGCCTCGTCGACCCCGCTGCCGCCGCCGCCGTGCAGCCGCGCGCCTCCTGCAGCCGCCGGGGCCGCGGCCGCCGCCGCCGCCTCGGCGGCGGCACTGCCTGCGTAGCCCTCGAGCCACCTGAGCGCCACCCTCAGCGGCGCACCGCCGCCGCCGCCATTTGCCGCCGCGGCCGCCGCTTCGCGCCACAGGCCCGCCTCCAGGCGCGCCGCGAGGGCAGCGGGCACGCTGACGGTCGGCTCGATCCACAGCCGCCATGCGCCCGCGCGGCCGGCTGCACTCCCGGCCGCAGCGCCGCCGGGCAAGCTTTCGGCGGGGGCTTGATGCAGCGGAGGGTGCGAGGGCGCAGCGCCGGGCGGCCCCCACTCCCCCTTGACGTGTATCGCCCCGCGCTGCGCGCCCCAGGCGGGGTCTGTTGGTCGCAACATGAGGCTGAAGGCATGGCGCCCCTGCAGGCCCTGCTCCTCCTGCTGCTGCTGCTGCTGCTGCTGCTGCTGCTGCTGCTGCTGCTGCTGCTGCTGCTGCTGCTGCTGCTGCTGAGCGCCACCAAGCCGCACCGCAGCGCCAAACCGCAGCGAGAGCCATCGCAGCTCCCCCTCAGCATTCCCGCCCTCGCCCGCTGCGCCCGCCGGCGG